GCGCGCTGCGCAGCCCGCGCCCGCGGGGCGGCGCCGTCCCCGCTCGGCGGGTCGCGGCGCGCGTGCCCGTTTTCGGGCGAGCTGCGGAGCCCGTTAGGGGAGCGCGGGCCCGGGCGAGCGAGCGGGCGGATGGGCGCGCATGGGGGCACGTGGCGCTGGGCTTGCTTCGTTGGGAACTGCAGCCTACCTGCCGGAAAGCCCGTAGCCGYCATAGCCAAAGCACAGTAGTATATTTCAGCCCAGCTTTGCGTATTTTTTGTTTTAAAAGGTATATTATACGTGACTAGATCTTGGCAATAGTACCCTGTACCACAAAATAAATAAAAATAAAGTTCAGTTAAACTTTTTTTTTTTTTTTTTAACACTTGCTCAGTGGTGGTTCTTGACTTTTCCTACTTGGCTACAAGTATGAATTTCTTCCTGGGATTAAAAAAAAAAAGACTATAAGAGAATCAGGAACGGGCAAGGGATATCACCCTCTCAGGGAGGCTGAGGAAAAGCTGCCCTGAAAGCCCTGTTTATTCTTATGGTCACCAACTGTGCAAATGAAATCGTGTACTTAATGACATGGGTACGAGTAAGTGAATGTTATGAATTGTGCATGGAGGGAAGGAGGCAAAATAGCTCCCTTTTACGCGCACCCCACCATGAACTGGGAATCGTGTTCCCATTAACACGGTGTGAAGGGATTGCATTTGGTTACCAGCTGTTTCTTCCAAAAGAGGGAAAAAAACTGAGGTTAGGGTAGGGTTCACAGCTCCCTGACCTTCCTCCTGGAGCGGCCAGCAGAGCCAAAGGGGCAGCACAAGGGGGCTCCTTGAGGCCTGCGGTGAYTCCCATCTCCCGGTGATTCCCATCTCCCAGTGATTCCCGTCTACCTCCTGCCCTTGCTYCGTGGCTTGGCTTTGTTCAGGGGCTGAGAAACAACTCGGCCTCCACTGAGCCCAACAGCTCTTACCTTTCACTGCTGGCAGCAGTGTAGAAACGACGTGCCGTGGGAGTGAACTACTTTTTCATATATTTTTTTTTCTCCAGATATGATTAGCTGTTAATTAAAYGTGAGTAGCAGGACCACCTGAAACACAACGTTAACCACGGATATTTTGGGACTAGTTGATGTAAATCCAGCTCGCTGCACTCCCAAAGACTCCATCTAYTCCAGTGCCTGCTGTGAAATAAAACTTAATGTTACTGCAGTCTAGACCGTGTTTTCAATGATGTTTGAGTCTGATGGTTTCAGTATGAGGTTATAAAACTGTTCCCACAAGCTGCTAAGTGAAAGAAGACCTCAGTTATCTGCAGTCCAGTATTCAATAATAAGGGCCATGTTGCGTTTCTTGGGTCTTTCAAATGATCGGTTCTTATAAATTAATGGCTCATTCAAGATGAAAGATTTTGGCAAAAAAATCCTACAAATCCTGGAATCTGGATATGTTTCCCAACCATCTTGCAGTTGCCAAGAAGTTCACCTGGATAATACATGTCTCTGGGAGATTTCTACAATGATGCTTGGGTTACCAGTTTCTACGTTATTCTTTAGGATGCTTTGGGGAATCATGGAATCTTTAAGATTGGATTTTCTAGTCCTATCAGTGGCCGCCACCTAATAGAGGCTGGCCCCATCCTCCTGACTCCTTCCCCTAAGGTATTTACAGACACTGATTAGGTCCCCTCTCAGCCTTCTCCACGCTGAACAGGMCCAGCTCTYTCAGCCCCTCTCTCAGTGGGTACTGCTAGTATGTTCCAGAAGGATTCTTTCCTACTTCTGCAGGAATGACTCTGAGTTGTCAGTGGGAAATCTCTTTTTAGCACAAGCCAGGCAAAGATAAAAATGCATGAAAGTTGCTTATATGCTCTGTCGCCTTCTTCCTCAGCCCTCTCTCAGAACTTTATTAAGACAGAGGTGTGGAGAAAGTGCAGAAAAAACATGATTAATCTACTTATCCCAAGATTAATTCCAAAGGCTTCTCCTTCCATCTCTTTATTTAGTTGACAGAGTGTAGATGCCTATGTAATCCATGCAATCTATCCTGATGCTTGGCTAAGCCCTCTGCGGATCATTAGCCTCCTGTGTGGCAGGAATGACCCTTTAAAGCTCCCTGGGCACTGCTCAACTCCTGGGAACTCATCCTGTTGTGAACCTTGTTACCCACACGCTYCTGTAACTTGCTCATCTGCTCTGCACAGACACATGGCTGGGAGCTGTTGCCTACAGCATGTTACTGACTTCTGGGTTTAGACTAGATGACAAGCCCTATTGAACCTGTTGGCTTGAGCGTAGCAGTGGACCATAACAGATGCTTGTGGAAGAGCAGAAAGGCAGGACAAATACGTGGAGATACTTCCCCAATACAGACTCCTGACCTGCAGTTGTCAGAAGGTGAGGAGAAAAGGGCAGGCTTTCCTAGAGGATGTGTCAGGATCTGCTTTCATGCAATGAAAGAGAATGGGACTCCAGAAGACAAAACAAAAAGCTTTTAGGAAAAATAAAACTCCTCAGGACAATTTGATGTAAATCCATTTAGAAAGAAATATCTACATTTTCTTTTTCTTTTTTTTTTCCCCCGTCAAGAGCAGACTTGGCTTTAAATTCTGAACTAAAGCTGTTCTCACTATAAACTCCTTTGCGTTCTTGTGTCTTTCCTCTGTAGCGTGTGAGTGCTTTGGCTGGAGTTCTGCAACATGTGTAACTGAATGGACACCAGTTGCTAGTGCTTTTCCAGGACTTAGCACGGGAATGCAGGTACAGATCACTGCTAGACAAAGCATCCACTTTCTGGAGATACTCCTTAGATGCCAGCCAGGCCAGTGTTTGGGTTCTCATTAGACCCATGGAAGTTTAAGCGAACCTAAATTCTGGAGGAGCGTGGCTTTGAAAGAAATCTTTTCTGTTTCTGAATCTGGTGGTTCTTTCTCTTTTTGTGTTTTTTTAAGGCATGCTAAAAATACAGAGAATTCTGTGGAAATTTAATTTTCTTCCAGATAAGTAATTTCTGTATATTTCAAAGCATGTGTGGCGGTTTTTTTGACATAGGAATTGTTTTGCAATTATCTTTTCATCACTAGTGAAAAGCTTGAAGCCTTTCAGTGTATCCACATGTTATGCAAAATTCCTTGCAAAGTTATGTTCTGAAATGCAAACACATAAATTTTATTTTTTAAAGAAGTAGTAATAAAAGAAACTGTCTTACTTATTGTCCCCTTCAGATGTGGACTGAATACATTCCATTCTCTGGACCACATATACTCCACTAAACTATGTTAGTACACAGCACTGTTCATATATCAGACAAGACTCATATTCCAACAGTACTCATCAAACATAAAAATAAATGTACATGAAAACACCAAATGAAGATGGATCATTCTTCATTTTATAGTCAAGGTGGTTTGGAAGCAGTACCAAAACCATTGAGTCAAACATAGCCAGAGATCTTTCCTTCTAGAGCAGTGTCCTCTTCTATTCCTTCCTACAGCTTTCCTTATTCATGAAGGAAGGTGTTACCCAAATCACACTGGCCTCACTGTGCTTTGGATCACAGCCCTGCATCTGTTTTCATCTTTTCTTTGTGATCTGAGTGTTGGAGGGTTTTTTCCACAGCTTTCCACAGCTTTCCAGAGCTCAGCACGTCTCGGAGCTCTGCAAAGCATTTCGGGGTGCATTCTTTTCTGCAGCGCTATGTTCCAGCGCTGCCATAATTTATGTGCTCGAGTAGCCCCCTCTGCATTTACAAGCAATTCTCTGAAAGAAAGAGAAGTTGTATGGATGTAATTTGGAGGCAAGCGAAGATTTATCCCACATGAATGCCAGAGTGAGCCCAAAGAGATCCAAACGCTGTGCCTGGGCCTGTATTTAGTTGGCAGTTACTTTTAGGCTGTGTACTATGTCTTTGTCATTTGTCTACCA